TACAAAGTCCGTGGACTTTGTGGAAAATTCTCTCGAATTAGAGAAATTGTAAAAACTCAATGAAGTACTCAAAATACTCTGTGAGGAAGAGTCCGTTCACAATTCAACGAACGGGAAGCAACCTGATGGAACCAACGCAGAGGCGTTCATATCAAGAAGGAATAAAAATTATAAGCCAAGAATTTGTTGCATTTGCCGACAGCCTGGTCACATCGCGAAGGACTGCTATTACAGAAACAAGAATACAAAAGTGAGTTATCCAAAGGTAACGAGGAAAAAAAGAAGTTACAACCTACAAGTGTGAACGTTTCATCTTGTTCTGATGAAGGAGAAAGTGATTTTTCTCTTCAACATGGAAAGAATTATGAATGTGATAAAATTTGGTTGCTGGATAGTGGTGCAACTGGACACATAGCAAAAGACTTCTTTTGGTTTCAGAATATTACACTAGAGGTGAGGGAGATTTACCAGGCATTTAAACATTCAAAAATATTTTCAGAAGGTACTGTTAGAGCAAAAACTATAAATACAAAGAATTTTATTTTATTAATTTAACTATTAGTAATGTTAGTTATATTCCTGATTTAAGAAATAACTTATTGTCACTCAATGGATAAAGGATGTAAAATTGAATCAAGGAATAATTCTGTATTAGTTTTTAGTAGGTGTAATGAATTACTTTTTAAAGCATTTAAGAATAACGGTAGGCTTGAAGTTAATTTAGAACCATATTATAATTCTGAATCTTGCATTGCTAATGATTGTACTGGTAATAATTATGAAATTTGGCATAGTAGATTGTGCCATTTAAATCCAAAATATATGCTTAAAATGAAAGAATACATTGATATTAATGATGTAAGTGATTTTAAGTGTGAAACTTGTGACATAAGTAAAATAACTAGAAAAAGTCATCCAAATATTGACATTAATCAGAGTTCAGAAATTTTAGAATTAATTCATTCGGATCTATGTGGCCCTGTTCAAACTGAATCAATTGGTGGGTCTAAATATTTTATGATCTTAGTGGATGATTTTTCTGGAATGTATTTTACTTATTTTCTTAAAAGTAAAAGTGAAGTATTTGACGCATTTTGTAAATTTAAAGCTAAGTATGAAAATTTAACTGGTAAAAGAATTAAACGTTTGAGAACAGACAATGGTTTAGAATTTTGTAAATCAATCAACAATTAGATAATAATCTTGCTAATTCAGGTACTTTTCATGAAAAAACAGTTCCATATAACAGTGAGAGTAATGGGAAATCTGAACGGGCAAACAGAGTTCTTTTGGAAAGAGCTAAGACATGATATATATATGATATGATAGTGAGCTTCCGGTAAAATTCTGGGCAGAAGCAATTAATTTTAGTACTCAAGTATCAAATTTAACACCCTGGAAAGGAAAAGAAAAAATTCCTTTAGAAATTTGGACTGGTAAAAAACCCAAATTAAACTATCTAAAAAAGTTTGGATGTGTGACATACTTTCACATTCCGAAAATAATGCGAAACAAATTTGACATACCAGGGAAAAGAGGGATAATGTTAGGATATGCTAGAGAAAGAAAAGGATATTGTATTTATGATATAGCAAGTAATAAAATAATTGAAGAACGATCAGTTAAATTTAGCGAATCTTTAAAGGGTAGTAATTATATGGGGAAAAATAAAACCTTAGAAACTTAGGATATTGAAGAATTAAAAGGAAGGGGAAACGAAGTAGATCAAAAACCACACCTCGAATTGGTTGTTACCGAAAATACTCAAGCAAGTGAATATGATGACTCATTGAATTTCGAAATCCCCGACATGAGCCATTGTAGCGGGGGTGATGACAGGGGGAATAAAGTCCAAACATCTGATAGCTATGAAAAAAGTAATAAATATGGAAATAAAATACCATTAAGACCATCCGAGAGGTTCAAATCAAGCAAAACAAAGTGCTAATTGGTATGACTGGAAATCCGCAATGGAAAATGAATTAGATTCATTACATAAACACGAAGTATGGGAAATAGTAGAGAGGCCTGAAAAAACAAAATTAGTAAAAAGTAAGTGGGTGTATACTTTGAAGAAAGGAGACTGAGGAAGTAAAATATAAAGCGCAATTAGTAGCGGCTGGGTTTAATCAAATAAAGAATAAGGATTATACCAAATCATATTCACCAGTAGTTAACATTGAATGTTTTAGATTATTGCTTGCACTTTCAGCTAAATTAAACTTGACTGTTAAATTTTATGATGTAAAAACAGCATACTTGTACAGTGACTTACACAAGGACGTGTATATGACTCCTCCACCTGGATATGAAAAACTGATTGGAGAAGGAAAAGTATGTAAATTGAAGAAAAGTATTTATGGGTTGCCTCAATTGGGTAGAAATTGGCATATGAAAATAAAAACTGAATTAGAAAAACTTGGACTGGTACAGTTAGCATCTGATAATTGTATATTCATTTATAATGATACCAAAAACATTTTTATATTGTGTTTGTATGTTGATGATTTAGCTATATTCTGTAATAATATAGAAATGCTTGAAAATATGATTTCTAAAATTAAAAATGTATTTGAGTTACATGAAAATACTAATTCAAAATTTTTGGGAATGCAAATAGAAAAACTTGAAAATGGTATATGTTTGTCTCAAACAGAATATATTGAATCTTTATTGACAAAACACAATTGGAGAATTGTAAAGCAGTAAAAATGCCAATCGTTAAAGGGGCAGATAAAGGTTTTTCATGTACAAATGAAAAAATTGATGCAATTTTGTATCAGGAATTAATTGGGGAACTTTTATATTTAGCGAATAGAACGCGTTCTGATATATCATTTGTAACAACTTATTTGTCACAATTTAATTATGTACCAGAAAAAAGGCATTATCTTTTAGCTAAAAGGGTATTAAGGCATTTAAAAGGTACAAAAAATAAAAAAAAAAAACTTTTCTATAGCAATGATTTTGGACTTTTAAATGCATATGCTGATGCTAGCTGGGGAAATGCAGAAAATGGCAAGTCATTTTTTGGTGGTACTATTTTACTAGGTGATTCATTGATTTCTTGGAAATGTCGTGAGCAGAGAATTGTTAGTTTGTCTACTTGTGTAGCAGAATTATTTTATATTTCTGAAATTTGTAAGGATATTATTTGGACTGTAAATTTATTATCAGAATTAAAATGTAAACAATTTTTGAATGGTGCAGTGGTCTTGAATACAGACAGTCCAGCTGCCATCCAGTGGATCAACTGTGCCAGATCTTCTACGAAATCCAGACACATGAACTTATGTTTCCATTTTATGAAGGACTTAACAAAGGACAATGTCATTAAGTTGGAATATTCACAAACTGATAATATGATTGGAGATTTTCTTACTAAGAGTGTCAGTGAAGAAAAATTAATGTATACATTGAAAATAATTTCCTTAATTTCTTAATGTAAGTGTTATATATTGTTTGTATTTCATTTTTGTATTGAAAAAATGTTGCTCGCAGTAGGGATGTGTTGGGTAGAGGCGAATGCACGTTTTTTTCTTATGCGCATGCGTATTAATTATGCTGGCGCAGCTGTCTCTTCTCCCGACACATCCGTCATTTGAGCGTAGGGAGATGGTGAGATGTTATTTGCTGTGTGAATGGTCAATATGATTTCCTGTGTGATCTTTTTATTCATTATTCATGTAAATAAAGTTTGTTGTGCTACGATCGCTTCTTTATATATTGACCTCTGAACAACATAAAGAAACTGAGATCACTGAGCCGAGTAACAGAGTGGATATATATACATGTATTTATATACTTTTGGTGCAGCCAACTGCAACCAATATATGAGGTGCACATCTACATGTATATATATCTACATGTTATAAATATTCTACATACATATGCACAGATGCCACGAAAAATTCTCTTCAGACTTCATTTTAAATCAGTTTTATATTTTTTTTGGGGGGGGGAGGAAGAGAGTCCTATATTCTGTTCTTACGCACAGATGTAATGCAAAAACATCGTTAAATTGCATTTGATAGCAGTGAAAATGTATATTTTTGTTGAAATATGATGCCTGAAACTTTTCGTGATTACAATACTTCCTTTTTACTTCGTACAAAGAAGTAAAAATTCAGAACTTGCAAAGGTATTTTATAAAACTGCTGTTTCTGTTTAGGGGAAAACTGAAATCTGATCACTAATTTCCATATAACAGCTTGATATCTGGGAGAGTTAAGCTAGACAGTTACATTAGGCTTACTAATTTACAAATTAATTACCAGTAAATCAAAGCAGAGAGAGCATAAAATGATATAGTATTAACAAACTCTTTAAAATAGCAATACCAAGCCAAATTATTTAAAAAAAAATTTGCTGTGTTGTTCCATCGTAAATGTCATGTGAAGACTTTTGTACTTATATAATAAAGGAAATAATTATTCAAAACATGTTGTTGAGATCTCCCATAGAGGGCGTTGTAGCACCCCTCAACTGTGTGAGAAAAGTTTCGATTTGAGCGAGAGTTGGCGTGGGTTTTGAGAATGTAGTCTGAAGAGCTGTGTAACGTGTATTTGCTATGTAACTGTACTATGTAATATAATGTAATTAAATGTATTTATTTAAAATGTGGAGCAATTTTAAAGGAGCATACTTCACACATGTATTTTTCACTGAATGCTTGTACATGAGAATTGCAATAAGTTATTTTATTAGGATATTAAATTCTTGCAGTGAAAATAATATCTAATTTCAGATGTTTTAAAAAAATGTTTAGCAAAAGATTTACTTTGCAAAATTTAGACTCAAAATTTTTTTAAAAAAAATATTAGGCGTAATGAACAAAAATTAATTAAAAGAAATAACAGTATATTTAAGGAAAAATTCAATATGTTTTAAAAAAGCAGTATAAGAGTACTAATAACAAACATAAGGTTAAACAGATAAAATGCAATTTGTAATTAAAATGATGTATTTTAGGAAGAGTAATTCATTGCATGATAAATTACCTGCAATATATTTGTTCCATTCCGAAAGTTGGTAAATGTAGTCATGATATCAGCATTGATTTCATCCATGGCTTTTTTCCAACCACTGTTGAATGATTTGACCAAGGGTGTCACTTTTGCTGTATAATGATATAATATATCAGAGGTGTAAAATGTCTGAAACTAAACAACATGTTTAAAAATTCAGAAATAACACTTTATGCAAAACCTTTTCAAAGCTAAATTCTGAAAAACCTTAAAAAAGAAGAAAGAATGCATGCAATTTGTTTGCTCAAACAAGGTCTTTTTTTAGGCGACAAAGGCTGGTTCTCAGGTTTGATAAAGATTTGGATGATAGGAAGGCATTTACTTTAAAAAATTGGATTATGTAATATTATTAATTTGTAACCAAATTCTGATTAATTTTTTAAAAAAGGGAAAAAAAAATAATAATAATAATTGAGTATTAGATTTTGCAGCTTTTTTGGAAGGGGGGACATATAAACATATCTCATTATATTTCATACAAAGTTTCTAGAATTGTTGACATATCAGAATGTCTAAGCCTATTAGGCATAGTGCTAAGTTATCAGTATCTGCAGGAATGATCTGTGTTGGAAGCAGTTTTGCCTTTCAGATGTGAAGATACATAGATATGTATATATATATGCACACATATGCACATCAGTTAAGTACTTTATAATTATTTTTAAATTGTGGAAGTAATTTATAAAGCAGTTGTATTAAGGAATTCTTTATTTTTCAGCTTAGTTGTTCATTTAAAACTCTTTAGAATGAATTTTAATATTATTTGAACAATACAAGTTTCTGTGTGGCAGTCAAAGTAGTCGCTACTGTAATTAAAAAAATAATTGCAGTTCTAGGTTTAAAGAATTTATAGAGCTAAACATAATGGCATATTTGAGAAAATTCTTAACAATGAAATGCAATTTAAACGTATATATATATATATAAACAAACCTGCTTCATTTTTCAGATTATCTATCTGCCCGCGTTCCAAATATTTTTCACAGTCCTTAACAAAAGTCATCATTCCACCAAAATATGGAGAAAGCACTTCTTCTACGTACTCCAAAATTCTGGCATTCAAAAGATCTTTAAAGCTTTCAGACTCTCTAGAATCTTCTTTTGTTCTTTCCTTTAAATTATTAAAAAAAATAAACAATTTCATTTTTATCGCACACAGTAGATTTATTAAATCATGAAAGAATAACATAGTTTATTTCAACACAATTACACACATATAACTCATATTCATAATAAGTATATTTTTTAAAATACAAAGAAATCTAAGATGACCACCCTCAATTCCAGAAAATTTTAATTTTTGTGCAGAGATGCTCACCTTACAGAATAAGAGAATTAATGATCTTCAATGTGATTACTTAATTATGTTTTCAATAGTGTCATATTTAGAGATGGTTACCATGAGAGGTTTCATTGCATACAATAAACCTGTTAGTAATTCATCTGAAATCAAATATTATTCACTATTATTTTATATAAAAACTTGTAATAAAAATATTATAAGCTCTCATAGTAGACATATAAAGATGTTATGGTTATTTACAAAACATATTAGTTTTCTCTTTTTGTGAGTGTATTATTTCAGAATTACAGTTAATGCTTTATAATTTTAATGCAAATTAATTCAAAAGGTTAAATAGTAAGAAGTTATGATTAATCATGGTCCTATCGCTGAAAACCAGACTTAAATTTGCTGATCATGCAGTGGTGTCAAACATCCTTCAGTCAAAGGACAAACATTCAGAAAGAAAGCTGAATGCATTTTAGAAAGACCATAAAGCACACATCTTTTCTCCAGATCTCTAATCACACTATACTGTTATGCAAATTTTAAAAATAAAACATATACAGGGTTCGTAGCGGTCCTTACAAGTGCTTATAAGTCCTTATATTTGAAAATAAAATATAAAGGCCCTTATAAATGCTTACTTTTTCTTTAAAGCCCTTTTTTTTTTTTAGTGCTTATTTTGCTTTGTGCTTTTTTTTAATTGTTTTTAATGAACGCGTTTTTTCCCGTACCAAAGCCGAACTAAATAAACAACTTTTCTTTCTTATATGCACGTCAGATGTGATCATACTCGGAAACGCTTTTCCCCTTTCTCTGCATTACGTCCTATGGTGCGCGCGAGAATCCTCCCACCAAACTAATTTCTACAAGATTTTAATAATTTCATTCTCGTTCTGCTTGGTCAGTCATATTCGTGTTTATTATGATCGTTATGCTATATATGAGTATATGAATATTTTAATAGTATAGTTGCGTACTGCTGAAGTATAGATAAACTTCCAAAATGGGGTGTGCTTTTACACAGATTACTTTCTAATGAATATATTCGGATGGCTAAATAAAAGGAAAGTAATCGAATAGTCAAAAAAATTTATTTTCTTTGCCCTATTACAGTACGGAGGTTGGGAGTTTTCCGCAATCTCTGATTGAAGCCGGACTTTTTTGGTCACTGTGCAATCGGGATTGATAGAAAAAGTTTTTGCGGTCTACCCAACCCAAGCGGAGTGATTCTATTCCGGAAATTAATACAGTCTGTTGAAAATTGAATCAGAAACACCCCAGATTAGTAAGTCTCTTTCTTTTCCTTATTTATTTCTTTTTTTCGATACCGGCATGTGTTGATTCCGATGCGTATATCCCATGGAAGAATTACGCGCACTATCGCGCATAACGTTTGCGGTATTTTGCTTGATAATTAATTTTGAGTCGTCTGAGGTTGTTTATGACACTTAAAGAGTTTCCTGTGCTTTCTAGCCGAATATTTCTCAGTTCCTTGGTTTTTATATGAACACATTCGAAATGTCAAATATTTTTTAGCTTAATTAAAGCTAAAGAACAGCTAAATCTCCCCCACTCCTCTTTTTTCCAGTTACTATCCGAATATTCGGGAATTTCAAGTATGGCGGGTTAGTTAAGCTTTTTACTGTAAGATGACTGAATGAAGCAATTTCCTGTCTTCTGATTTCAGAATGTGCCTCTATTACTTTGCTGGGATATATGTTAGGGAAAACTGTTATGCAATGAAAATTTAGAACATGTCGAATTTTGATAAGTTAAATTATTTAAATAGTATAGAGTGGAAAAAAATTGTATTATTATTAGTGCCAAACGATACATTAAATGCTTATTATTATTTATTTCTATATTTCACTGAAATATTCATTAAATTTTGTAATATTTATTTTGATAGTTTTTCTCTCATTGTAAACTAACTTCTGTAAATTGAACTGTCATTTAAAATTTCAAAAAAAAAAAAAAAATGTTAATTGTTTTCCATTGTTGAGGTATGCTCATTCTCGAAATACTGCATAGTCATATTTTAAATTACAAGTCTAATTTTTCTTTAAAGGTTATGCAGTTGTGTATAATGTAATTAGACAGGTGCTTATTTTTTCCTTAAAATGTGCTTGAAAAGTGCTTATAGGTGCTTATTTTTTTAACTAAAATGTGGCTATGAACCCTGATATAACAGCAATAAAACCTACAAGAATACTATATTTGCCATTTATTTGGTAAGAAGGATAACATGCAGAAGGTATAAAATAACTAGAAATTAAATACCTCAATAGAAAGTAATTACAGACATGATACTCTGATAATAACGTTAACTTAAACATCCTACACATAACTGAAACAGAAGACTTTTTAAAGTCACAACATTATTACAAAATAAAATCCTATAAAATACTGATTTTAAATATACACCAAAATCAGAAAGTCACCTCATAAGCTATAGCTATGATGTAAAATCATTACACAAGATATTACTACTTGCTTCTAATTAATGAAAACTTTCAGTATTATTGATTAATCAGAACGTATTTGGTGCATTTTATGTAAAATTTTCTTTTTCATTCAGGGAAGAATGCTTTCCAAAGAAATTTGAGAAGAGGGCTTTTAATTTGTTATCATGATTTTAGAAATTTAACAATACTAATGCACACTCCATTTTTAATCCGGGGGACACATACCCATAGTATCTGCTACTATGCCACTGGACATTTTATGCATGTTATTAATTTAGCTTGCTTTGTAAAAGTAATAAAACATTTGGAAATAATGTAACATTCTGAAAATTCCAGTATTTTTGTTAACATATTAAATAGTAAATGGAACGAAACATTTCTTATTAGAAAAGAAGTAAATAAAAAATTTTAAAACACAAATAAATTATCAGCAAATTTAGAAACAAACAATGAACCTTCATTATATTACACTGTGCCTGGATTAAGGAAGCAGCTTTATGTATGCAAGACCAATCTTATACAACTGATAACAGATGATACAAAAAGCTGATACTCTATGTCCTGAATAAATTTTCTTAAATAATTTTTCTTCAGTTTGTAGTCCTCGGTGCACAAACTCTTTAAGTTAAAAAACTTAACAGATACTAAAAAGCTTTTTTTTTTTCATTCTTAAAGAATTTCATAAACCTTTATTGTTATACTGTTATTATTGTCATATAGCATGCAAAGTCACACACATGTATAAAAATTATTAAATCAATAAATATGAGCAAAAATATTTAAGGTCAGGCAAAAAGTTACACAATAGGAATTGATCCAGAAGTCAATAAACATACTTACATAAAAAAATTTATATTTCAATGAATTCACTAGCTATAATAATGCAATTAGGGCACAAATCCATAAGATTAGAGGGAGGGTCTCAAAATCATCACAGGTGATGAATATGACAACCATTATTAGCTCTGTGCAGAGAAAAGTTATGAAAACAGTTTTTCTTTATGAATCCTTGGCTTATACTAACAGACTGCATCTTTTAAAACTGCCAAGATCATGACTACAAGTAATTTCTTACTCAAAAGTAACAAGCATAGAGTTTCAGGTCTGCAGATCAGGATGTTCATTCATGTTGAAAGCAGGACCTGATTCCCAAACAGGGTCCCAAAATCATGCTATAGCTCTTCAAAATCTTGTTTGTCCTCATAAAAACAAGAAAGTCGAAGTTGAAATTTCCAATAGAAGACTGCACCAAGGATCTTAAACTTCTTAATTAGGGCCCAGGTTAAAAGTGATGCCTTATTATTCTGTACATTAGAAGTACAGCATAAGAGCGATTTTCAAAAGAAAAATACATGCTGATGATTTGTCCTACATGAATATCACAAAATCCAGTGTTTGCTCATTTTTCCAGATTAGGAATTTTTTTTTTTTTTTTTTTTGTTTCTGAAGAGGTTAATTGTAACACAAATGTTTTAACATGCAAATATATTTAAAAATCAGAAAAATATTTACTAACGCTTAAATGTATCTGTATATTTAAACATCAGTGTCTATGCAGCAAGTCATTCTCAGTAAAAGACACAAAAAAATGATGTTATAGCTTGATCTAACATCATCATCATGTACCATCGTTAAAAAGATTTAAAAAAAAATTTTTTTTTTTGCATTTATTTCACTCAAGCTGAGTGTAACCAGACACAACATAAGATTTAATGTAAGTAATACTCGATTCTTTAAGATGAAGTGAGGGAGGAGGGGGGGGGAACTTGGTAACAAACTTTCTTAGAAATAATCCAAATGACAATTACAAATTTCTTGGTTTTATCATCATAAAATACATAAATGGTAAAATGGAACTACCTGTTGTTAATTCAAGTTTCTAAATAAAGAACATTTATATAATTCACCACGTAATGCCATGATTTTTCATGCAGGAATCTCCTCATAATCTTTTCAATTACCGTAATTTCCGGAAGAAAGGCCGCATCAGCGTAAACGCCGCACTCGAGAAAAATGGCGGGAAAAAAATGAAAATTACACAGAAACGCCGCAATAGATTAAATTGCGCGTGACATCGTCGTGGGCCGTATAGATGCAAAAACTCAACCTAAGTTCTGTATATTGACTACCAGTTAAGAAAAATGCATGAATTGAAACCATAACTCAAAAATAAATTAAAGTAAGAAATGATAGCTTCTGTTGCCGTTTAGAGACATTTTCAAAAATTTTCCACTCCCTTCTTACTTAAAAACTGTCCAACAAGTACTTATACCCAAACTGATATGATCTGTATCTGGCAGAATGCCACGAAAAATCGAATTATGCTGAAGGGAAAATATGTCAGAATTTGTTATTGCAACGCAGGTGGAGTGGTGTCCGCCTTTGGAAAAAATTGCAGTAGATTTATAATGGAAAAGGCAGGGTGGGAGAGATGGTTCTGGAAGATTCATCGAATGGCAGAGGAGAGGACTATTCAAACTGATGAGAATGTTGATTAAAAGGGAAGAATGTTATTGTTCTGAATCTCGTTTATTAGGTCCATTCAAGGGAAAGAATGTAAACAAAATAAAGTTTGCAGAAAGCAACTGAGTGGTCTTTTGTGTGGGAACAGCACCAATCTATACAATGACAAGGTCATCCAAACTATGTACAATAACAAACTATGTACTATAACAAAGTCATTCAAACTATGCACAATGACATCATAGGAAATATTTTTTTGTGCACCTAAGCACTGCATGGGTAGAAATGCCACACCGGCTGAAAATTTAAGTTTTAAACACATAAACGCCGCGGCGTTTCTTCCGGAAATTACGGTATTAATTTTTTTATTACCTTGATTTGTAGGCTTTATGAACAAGTAAACATTTCTTTTGTCTATTATTTATTTAAAATTAACTGGCCAAAAATTTTTACTTTTTCAAATATATAATGATTTACTGGTAAAATCTTGGCCACTTTATCAGTATGGTATGACATATATTTTGTATAAAGCCTAAAACCACCACTGCAAAAAAGATGTACATAGTAAAGACAATCTGCCAACTTTCAGGCAAGTTTTTAAGTCGCAGCCTGCGAAACTGAACTTATTAATGGAATTGCTTATTAATCTCAACATTGTTGACAAAACGTTCTCAAAAGTGCATTTATAGGAAAGTGCAGCAAAATGTTAGCACAAAATTTGGGGTATGAAGTGGATAAAGCAAAACTTCTCAGTAACTTTTGGCACAATTCAAGCTATCAAATAACAGAAGCTTACTCCCCAAGTACCTGCTAGTAGTTGATCATACTGATTCTGTTTACCCCCAAGTTCATAAACACATGAGTCTTCTGCATCTTCTGAGACCCACAGCTGAACACTACCATGAATGGAGCCCATCTTCAAGGATGACACTGCCATTTTAGAACCATGAGAACAAACAGCTTGGATCACATTCTCCTGCAATATTTTCATTGAACATGGTGTTAACATGATGGCTTGATTCAGAAGCAGTTAACCTGGATTTGAAGTCATACTATGCACAACTGCAAATGAAATATTTATTCAAAAGCACGTCAGAGTTCATGCTTAATGAATGTGTTTAATTTCAGTGCATTTTAATGTTGCCTAATAATTTCCTATTTACTTACTCATGGAGTAGAAAATGTTCCAGTAAATAAATCTTTTGCTGTGTTCTAATAGCTTTATCACATTTAGCGATGCACAGTGTAAAATATATTCCAAGAAACAAATTCAATCAGCGTTCGTTTGAATGGGACATTTCTAATTGCAACAGTTATGCTGAGTGATCAGCTGTCCATTGTAACCGCAATATTTTATGATATTGGGAAAATTTGCATTTGCAGCTCTTTTTGCACGAGAGAAACCAATTTGAGAATTCTATTTTTTTCATAGTATAATGTTGGCAGGTCCTCTTTTATGGTAAGAACATGTTTCTCAAAAGAGTTTCCTATTGAGTTACACAGTGACAGAGCTGATAAAGGTTTAAAATAGTCAGAACTATCTAATAATTGAAGAGTGGAAGGAATCAAAATCACAATAACATAATTATGTTCATGATGCCTTGTCTTTCATGTCAATAAACAATACATTCTGGTCATGAATTTTCCTATTCCATAATACTTTGCAAAGGAAATCCAAGTGGCAATAAACTATATAAACTATATTAAGACTGTCCCACCACTTAATTTTCCAAAAATTGTAAATTTGGACAAAATTCAGTACATTTAAAACATCCGGAAAATTAATTAAAACAATTTTTAAATAAACCAAATAAATATCATATATGGAAACAACAATAAAAATAGGGAAAAAAAATTAATCAAACAACTATGCAGATTCTTACAAGCATAACATTTAACATCATGTCATAGTTGTTAATTTGAAATATTAATTGATCCTTATGATCTGGAAACTCTGCAGCCATTCGTAGAATGAAATTTTCTACTTCAACTTGCAATGCTGCCAGCAACCTTGCAACTCGCTCACTAGGAAAATTTTCATTAATGCCAACAATGGCAGCTGAGAATTCAGCATATCTTCTTGTTATCTAGAGGGAAAACAAATGCAAAATAAAAACGATGCCAGTAACATGTATACAAATTTTTAAAATTATAATTTTACACTTGAAATAAATCAAATGAAAAAACTTAAAAATTTTTATGGGTCAACACATTTTTTGTATCTTTAGGATATCATTACATATTAGTAAGATTTAGAATATAGTTTGGTAAAGGATTCTTTGCAATTATTTAGATAAAAATATAATGTTAAAACTAAAAGGAATTCAAATGACACATAATAAAAGAATTGAGATGCTGATTAAAATGACGAATCGCAGACCAAAATGAAAGAACTTCAACAGCCGCAAATCTATACAAGACATAATACAATTTTTCATTGCAAAATTTGGTTTTTTTTCAGCAGCAAGCACATTAATAATGAATAGATACAAGAATTATTGATTTGCAAAAAAATATGAGGTACAGTCAAAAGTCGTTAATTCGGACACCCATAATTCGAAATGATCTATAATCCGGACCTCAAAGCTAAAAAACTTTCTGTGCACTGCGGTTGACACATGCGCATTAGGCGTTTGCGAATGCGCGTAAGACCTCGACGACTGCGCATTTGCGTGTGGCAAGCGTCAGCAGAATTTTCACGTGCGCGTTTTATGTATAACGGACGTGAGTGTGTAAGCTAAAATTATCTAATTATCTATTTCAGTTAATGTTGATGATTGCGTTGTTCCTTAATTTCGAATTGGATCCGGCTTATTATTTTTTGCAGACTGTAAGAGCAATACTATAAAAGTAAACTTGAACTTTCGATTATGTCAAATAGAATTTTTGATTCTGGAGCTCCCAAAGGATCGTACAAAACGAAAGTATGTTTCGATGTCCTCAAACAAAAAGTGGAATTGCTGCAAAAAATGGGATAAAGACATGAAGAATGTGACAGAGAGGTTAGTGAAAACGAAAAAATTTCGATTGACAAGTTAGTCAGTTAGTCGTATTCTCGGACACAGCAATTAACGGGACTTGAACAGCAGAACTTTGTAAGTGAACAAAAAATTATGTCTGTTATAGAATTAAAGAGAAAAGTATTATCACATAAAACGAAGCAAACTTAAACAACTTACATTGAAAGAAATTTTAATAAAGTAAACAAATAAATATTAAGCTTTTTTTTTTGTAAATTTTGATACCTTTAGATCATAATTGTTCCTTATTTCATAAATTACGGTTTCATATTTTTAATTTTAGAATTTCTGCATGCCATCTTACGCGATTTAAACTGATGATCTATAATCCGGAAAAATCGATAATCTGGAATCGCCAAAGTCCCGACGAGTCCGGATTAACGACTTTTGACTGTATTTACTATTTAAATGAACAACTCTTTGCTGTATAAGAACTGATATATGTCCTAGAGAGCCCAGATAGATGAATGGTTAAACTAAGTAGGCATAAAATGCTTATAAACTGCCATATGTATAGTCCTACTTTGTTTCTGCACAAAGTATCAGTAGACTAATATGCTCTTGAGCATCAGCTGCCCAAAGTCAAACAGATGCTGATTCATATCATGCAAATTGCATTTGCAAAGGGATCCCATATTAATTTCTGGATTAAAGAAAAAAAATCAGTGTCTTGATGAGGAGGACCAACTTAAAACTCTCCCAGAAAGAAACTCATGCATTCAACATGGATAATCTGCAAAACAGATAATCCATACAAAGATACTGTATTTGCTGGCGTAAAGACACACTTTTTTCCTTTGAAAATAGGTCTGAAAAATGGGGTGTGTCTTATATATCAATACTCAGTTTTTGATTACATTCATTTCTGGAGATTTCCTTTATTTGGAGTTAAGCAAATTTTTTTTCTTTCTTGTTTCCTTGTAGAGAGTGGGAATATTATAGTTACACAGAGCTTATGAAGGAAGTGGAACAGCTGGATGCAGTCTTCAAATTTTGAGGTTACACCATCAGGAAGAAGGAAGAAGCCTAGCTTTTTCACAAGTTTTGAGGGTTTTAAGCTTTCATGGGATGCTGTAAACAGAGGTTAATCATTTAAGAAGTGTGGCATTAGAATTGCCTGGTTGATACGAGGACAATTGTTGTATGAGATCAGATTGATTTAGAAGAGGTCTCAAGCAACTCTTCATTTGGTTCTGGAGATGAGTGTCTGGATTTTGACAAAGATGATTAACAGGTGTTCTTTCCCAGATAGATTGGGTATTTGTAGAAAATATTACTTTGTATCTGTATTACTTTATATTTCAAATACTGTAAATTCATTATCATGATCAGTAATAAAGTTTTATCCTTCAAAAATCTGTATAAAAAAGAGGGTGCATCTTATAGGCCTCCAAATACAGTAATTATGAACACAGGGTGCTCAACACATGTGCATACTTTGAAAAGGAAATTTTTGTGTTAGATTTCTAATCAGATAACGGCCAAGTTTCAGATTTTAAAATTATTTTACAGTCTACATACTGATACACATACGTATAAAAAATATTTAAAGAAAATTTTTTATCATACAAATGTAAAATTATAACAGCTTACATAATGAGGACGCTTGTCAATGTTAGTGAATTTCTGAGGGTCACAATCACGGATGCTTTCAATATTTAGTCGTAAAATATATTCAAATCTTGGCCAAAATATGTGCAAAAGTGACTCCCAGTACCTATAAAAATTATGCAGAATATGAAAAAAATGTTAACAAATGATGAATAAAGATTATATTAAAAAATAACTCACTTATCTAAAGCTGGCACATCTCTTTTGTGCATTAGTACTTGATAACGATGAATTATGTGAATAGAAAGGAACAGAGCTATAGAATCATAGCAATCCTGTACATATTGTTCCATGTTTTTCTATAAGTGAAAGCAAAATATCAAATTTATAATATTTACATATAATATTTAAAAAGATATTCTAAGAATTGATATTTAGAAATCTATTTCACTGAATGATTTTGAAGTGTAACAACTTTATGAAATTTACACTTATAAAAGACTGGTTAAGTTTCAAATATGTATATAGTTTTTTTAATAAATTAACAATGATATAATAAAAAGTTATTTATTTCTGATGTACTATACGAGTCTTGAAATTTATGTAATTCCAAGTTCACGTACCTCAATCAAAATGGACAATTTTGCATTTTTTTCTATTCCTTCACATTCTATTTAAAGCTTATATTTTTGCAATCGTATCTTAAATCATACAAGAAAAAGTTCTACAAAGCATAACTTCACATTGTGGCAAAAATTTCACGATAGTTATTTTAAGCCTTATTGTTTATAGAAAAGAAAATTCAATACATATATAAATATTATTTTGATTTTGTGATTCTCTAATAGGAAGGTATACAAATAATTCAACATACCAGAAACATGGAAAGAGTTTTCCCTAGAACAGCATTGAAGAGATCCAAAGCACTGCTACCAGACACCATAAAAAATTCAACAATGAACAAATACTCTCGACATGCATTATCCACCAATGCATATTGCTGACTTCTGAATAAGCTTTCAAACGTATACTATAAAGGGAAAAAATTTCACTTCTGCATAAAGAAAGAAAGATGCCTGCAAAAAACAATCCCTAAATCTGATAAGCAGCAAGTATTTATTGCATGTATAAAGTTACGGATTTTTGTGCAAAATTAAGAGAATTTGCACATTATGCCAAGTTTCTGAAAAACTAATGGACAGATTTTAATAAAAGTTGGTATGAATATACATTTGTAACAGAGAAAGATATGTATACTCAAAAATCATTTTATGTATGACTGTCCATTTATGTATGACAATATGATACATAAATGGAAAATCATTTATGTATGACATTTTATGTCCAAACTCCACACTGTGATATCGAACTGAAAACAAGTTTAATATGAGGTCTCCTACCTTCTCTCAGCCAGATAGGCCATGCAGTACAAAGACATACTGGACAGAATTCCAGGGTCCCTAACACAGGCAATTCCACTCCTGCAGCAAAGCAGTTTCCAACTCCGGGATGGATCTTAGAGAAGGATGGCGAGATGCAAATGCCCTCCTAAGAGCACCTCAGACATGCTCTATAGGGCTAGGTCAGAAGATCTGGCTGCCCAATCCATGCAGAGAATATCCTCATTTTCCCAGTGATCGACCAGCTGAGCTGTATGCGGACGAGCATTGTCATCCATTCCAGGAGCAAATGTGCCCTTGAAAAGCTAAACTCAGAGCTCTAAGATCTCCTCTTTATACTCATAACAATCAAGAAGCCTTCATTGAACACTTGCAGGGGTGTGTGGCCGTCCAATATAATACCTGCTCAAACCATTCCACCTCCACCACTGTAATTAAATCTTTCATCTAATTAGAAAGGAATGATATCCTCTTTAAGGCTTTTCCCTGATACAGATACATTAAGAATCAGTGCCCAGGTTGAATCTCAACTAATCTGATAAAAGCACAGTAATCCACTGAAGTCCTGTCCATTGGACATGTTATCTGCACTATGCTAAACTCACTGTTGTGTTCTGCAGTGAGTAGGACAAAAGCAGCACGTCTTCTGCAGCGACCCTATCTCATGATGCTGTCAGGCAAGTGTAGACTATGAAGACTCTGAACTTAAGAATGACTGGATGAAGACTTTAGACTGTGGAGTTCCAGGGGTAAGATATAGCTCACACAAGAGCTGTGAAGCTGTAGCAGTCCTGTGTTGCTGTGCTGAAAGAACCAAATAATGATCCTCATTCATCGTGGTGAATCTTGGTCAACTTTGTCCAGGTCTTGTTGGTATGGATCCAATGCTCTGAAACTGTTTCCACAAAGTGCAGATCACACTGGGTATTGCACTGAGCTCTGTTGTTACCTGTGCTTGTGATTGGCCAGGCTCCAATCTACTGACAATTTTCCATCTCATTCCACTATCCATATGTTTGTGGCTACTCATTTTACCTGATATTTATAAAACTCACCCAACTTTTGCAAGAAGCACAGCAAATGTTGTGAAGGAGCATGAGTACGCAAATCACCGAAAACTCTCCGTGCACCTACACCCCTTCCACAATCATAGCTTTGCACACATGCACATTTATGCTTGTGTATTGAACTATTTGCATAATTAGTACCTTTGGTTCAAGACTTTTCATAAAAATAGGCATAATTTGCATCTTCACTTAATTTTTTATATGAGTGTATATTCACAAACACACATAATAAATGTTCTACAAATATGGCACAACTATAAATATAGTCAATAATAAAGCTAGTCCTTGCCCTAAATGGATAAAAACTATTATTATTTATTATGTTACCAACAGTACATCACTAATAAAATATTAGTAATTTACCCTTGGTAACTTAATAAATAACTGAATTAATATTTAAAACATCAACAATGAATAATGATAAATCTGAACAAAGAAATAATCAATGCAATTTAATAATAAAGAAAAATTACGAAAACTTTTCTGAATGAATATTAAATAAAAATACAAAACTGAAAATAATAAAAACTCAATAAAGGGAGGCTAAAATACAGTGTAATTGAAAAAACTTAAAATTAAACCACGAATATAATAAAATTAATTGATTTGAAACATTTTAATTCAATAAGACTACTATGGACGTGCATAAATCAGAAAAATATATATATATATATAATTTAAATACGAACAAAAAATAGCAGAAAACAGAACTATTTAAAAAGGATGTCAATTTTGCTAAATGCAAACAAAAAAAACGTGTAAATGGTAATTTCACCAAACTAAATTAAATATAAATGTTATATAGTAATGAGTTTTAACCTAATGTAACTGATCAAGTCAGCTGAAAGTTGTAATAATTAATAATTCAATATTTAATTAGTTATTCAAGAATAATGGTTACTCTATAATTAACCGAAAACATTAAAGTATAAATTAACAATTTACTAACTACGGATATACAACATCTTCTTACTAAAGACACCAACAAATAATTTTACAACAGGGGGTGGGAATTGTGAAAACAGTGGTGATGAAAATGAAAATGAAAATGAAAAAAAAAAAAAAAAAAACGGTTCAGAATACCTATAAAATTAATGAACAGAAAAATGAAATTAATAACCCAATATGTTGGGCTTAAACAAAAATAACTTTTTTTTAAATACAAACAAAAAAATATAACATGAAAACAGAACTATTTTAAAAAGGATGTCTTATTCTTTTTAAACTGCAAACTGAACGTGCAAAATGTAAAACGTGTGAATTTTAATCTTCACAAACTAAATTAATTATATAATATAATAAATGTGTATATAGTGTAAATGTTCCGTTAACTGCCTATCAATTTAGCTGAAGTGTGTAGTAAATTAATAATTCCATTTTAATTAGTTATACAGTACAAAGTGTTCTAATCCGGACGTCCATTATCGGATGATCTATATCCAGAACATACAAAGCCACAAACTTAAGACACATAATGGTTTATGGCATGTGGCATTTGATGCACATGGCCGCGATGCATGCGCATAAAGCAGTAAGCGGTTTATCCACGCGCGCTTCCGAGAGTTGAAAAGAACAAGAACGATATTGAAATGAAAAAATTTCACTGACAAGCAGTGGCGTCGTGAGAGGGGGGGAAGGGGGTGCATGATCCCGGGCGGCCGCTGGAAGGGGCGCCAAATGGTTTCAAACAAGAGTTTCTGTAAATTTCAGTTTTTATTTTGATCGATTCTGAAAATATACTTAAATTAATAACTATTTTAATTAATTATATATAATTAATTATTATTTTCTTGATTGTCTGATAAAATGTTTGCAGTACACAACCAAAGTCTTCCACCACTTTATTTCTCCAAAGTAGAGATATTTATATTTTTTTAAACGAAATGCACGTATATTTCTGTTTTATTTATTTTAAACGATTTCGCAAACATATCCAGTTCTAAAATCCGATTCCATAATCTGGAATGACATTTTGGGAAAATCCTGACGTTCGCTACATGGATTGCGTTTGACTCTCCTTAAACGACTGATGGCCTTCCGTTACCGATTCACTATGTCATCTTGCTGGACACTCGTATATTCACTGCTACAAGTTCCACGCATTTCATACCGAAACCACAATATCCCCTAATTGTTTTGAGCAGTGAATGTGATGTTATGACGTACTCCGCATAGAAAAAAACGAACAAAATCCATTACAGATCTATAGAGAAAATTTTTTTCCAAACCTAAGAGTCGCACTTCAAATACTACTCATTCATTATCAATGCTAACAATGAACGTTCGTTCAGCATATTAATAAATTTTCACAATATTTACAATCAACGATGGGACAAGATTCCCAAGTCATCTAGCTTTTAAGTGTGGTGGAAGAGAGAAAAATTTGAAAAGGGTCGACTTTGAAGTAAATAATAAATTGCTTCATCCAAGGTAAGAAAAAGTATACATAGTAATAATTGTATTCATGTATTAATTATTATTAATAATATAACGTGACCAAGTCGAGGTGCACGTGATCGAAGAGAAGGAGGCAAATTAAAATTTTTAATTGGCTGGTGGTGTGTCTGACATTTTAGATTTTGGCACTCACGCACGAACGGTCTAGTTGGCTATGTCCTTTTGATTGCTAGGCCATACGAAAATTGTATCATTTTTTTCAAAGTCTTGATCCAGGATGTACAGACGAGTAACTGACTAAAATGGCACGGTGAAATCCGGAGGGAACATACGGTCGAAATCTTGAATCCTAACATCACAATAAAGTAATTTTCAGGTGACAGCGCATAGGTGCAAGTGAGATTGGAGGAAGATTTGCTTTTCAGAGGGTTTGTAGTTCTGAATCCCGGTGTTGTCATCCGCAAGGGCAGCAAACTTTATTGGCGAAGGAACCCTAGTTCTTTATACGAGACAAGGTGTTGGAACAATATTCTCGAACCCTCGATATAAACGGGTAGCTGTTGAAAATTTCCCTAAAGTTTAGGTGTCTCATTTGACTAGGAAAAGTTTTATCCTGTTGAAAAGCATAAAGCATAAGCCTTTTTAAAGGGCGACTGGTGTTTTCAGGGAAAACCATCGCCAAATCCTGGTTGTGGAGAATCCTCCTCCTTTTAGTTCGAGCGCCACTGTAGAGACATTAGCATATTTGGAAGCAAGAGAGATTAAAAAATTAGCAACCGTTTTCGGTGGGAAACGAACCGCGGACCTCTGGAGTACCGGGCAAGCGTGCAGAACCACCACACCATATCGCGGATAGCGGTGACTCTGGAAGGGGTTGAACGCCATCAGCAGAAATTTCATGACCAAGAAAGGATATGCTTGGTTGGCCAAAAGCGCATTTGGAAGGATTAAGACTGACACCGTACCTTTGAAACGTTCAAAACTGTTCTCAAATGTGATAGGGTTCTTGCCTCTGAAGAGGAGGCGGATTAAGACGTCATAAAATAAACGTACACGAAAGTCGGCCGATTAACTCCTGATTCATGAGCGTTGGAACGTTTGAGCACGCTGCATAAATCGAAAAATCATGACCGGAAACTCAAATAGTCCAAAAGGCGTAATAACCG